TCTGTTTTTGTAGACATAAAGTGACTAGGTTTTGTTTGTGTGTTTATATGCTTGTGTATAGATAGACGTATAGAAATTTCTGAATAAAATGACAATTACTGGTTATAGATAGAAAGGTTTATAATGCATACGTAAGTATGGTGCTGTAGGATAAGGACTGGACCACAAGGTTAGTTTGAACCACAAGGTCAGAGGTTCAAACTCACCAATCACTCCTTGGAAACCCTATATAAGGTTGCTGAGTCAGAACTGGCTTGATGGCACTTAACAACATGTGTATATAAAAGGCTACTGCCATATAGAAAGGAGCTTCAAAAAGTGCATGGAAATACTGGAATTAAAATATAATGCAATTTTTCCTGGAATTGTTTGAAATCCTCTCGTGTGTGTGTATGTGTATAATATTTCTATTTATAACTAGTAATTGTCAACAAAAAAATCAAGTTGGGTTTTGAATTCTCTAAACATAGTCCTGGTATGGTGCTATAAGGGAACACTGTACTGCTAACCATAAGGTCGGCAGTTCAAACCCACCAACTGCTCCTCAGAAACTCTATACAGGGTTGCTGTGAACCAACTCCATGACACTTGAAAACAACAGCTCTAAGGAGCTCTGGTGGTACTGTAGAATACCACACTGAAGTGCTAATCACAAGGTCAGGTCGGCAGGTCATACTCAAGGTTGGCAATTGCTCTGAAGGAGAAAGGTGAGGCTGCTCCTTTCAAGTTTAGTCTCAGAAACCCTATGTAGGATCACTGTAAGTTGGCATGTACTCCATTGCAGTGGCAACATAGTTCCAAGTATTTCAAGACCCCTAGAAGTCTGGACCTTTCACCAGCGAACCCTTTAACAATGTAACACATTATCTCAAAAACGCCATCGTTAACTTGATTCTCTTCATTTGTTTAAAAAGAAAAAAGCAGAAAGTTTTATAGATATGCATGTGAATGAATGAAAATTAGATTGCTCTAGCATGTTTGTGTAATTCAGTATTAATTTCTCTGAAATTTCATTCTGCTCAACCTTTTAGGTGACTGAGTCATTTAACTCTTAGGGATGTTGAAAGCATACAACAAACATAATTCATCCATAGAGTAATACTTGAAGATTATAGGACATACTGATTATTCAGATAATTCATTTGTTTTATAAACACCAATAGCATGCTTTTCTGAAAATATTCAGTACTTAAACAGAGTGTCTACTGTATACAAACATAGCTGTGACACAAAAATGCAAAGAAATACCTAAAATGTGTAAAGATCTAGTAAAATTGAATTCACAGTTGCTTTTGCAGCAGGTTTGATGTTCTAATCTGGAACAAATATTTTCTAGCTGTAAGTGTATAACTCTTTAAGTAAAATGGTTTAATAGGGATTTACATTTTAAATATTGATGAACCTTGTATTTACATGCATTTTACTCATTGATAGTCTTCTTTTTTTGAAAAACTAAGTATGGTAGGTGTAACTTCTACAGAATTTTTTTTTACAGAAAGGAATACATTTCCGGAATAACTAAATTTCAGAATATAATGATTTGCTTTTTAAAGTTTGTCCACTCTCCTTGGTGTTTTTTTTTTTCTTTCTTTCTTTCTTTCTCTTTTTAAACAAAATGTGTGGTAAAGAACTCTGTGAAATAAAGGTATCTGTAATTTTTAAGTAGTTTACTTTGTAAAATCATCCCTGAAATTGGAGAAAGAATGGAAGTATAAAAGATAGCTTTCTTATACATGGGCTGGCTGACAGAGCCAACTTCCAGCTTAGTCAGATTTGATGTCAGGGTGACTACTATAAAGTTCTGTTCTCTTGAAGATAACTATAACTAAATACACAATCCTAATTTTTATTAAAATGTTAGAATGCCTTTTGCTTAATTTCTACACCTCTGATAAAATCTGGAGATAGGACATTTACCCTTCATAAAAATCCAGTGTGTCTATGTCATTTACATAGGGAATTTTCACTTTCTTCATTTCACATTTTTTTAGTATAAAGTGCTTTAATATAGCCACTGTATTGATTTATGAGAGCCACACCTCTCCATGATACATTGTCATTAAAATTATTCTGCTAATAACTATTTTTAACAGTCGCCAATAGATAATGATTATTTCAAAAAGAAGATGAGAAATCTTTCGAATCTATTAAGTTCCTTTATAACTAGTGCTGTACTAGTGGAAATGTAAAGAAGTATTATCATCAAAAGGAGCCCTGGTAGTATGGTGGGTTAAGCATTGGTATATTATTCAGAAACCCTGCTGTTTGAACTCACTAGTGACTCCATGGAAGAAAGAGGATGTTGTCTGCTTCTGTAAAGATTTACATCCTCGGAAACCCTATGGAGTCATGGAGCCGTTCTATCTGTCCTGGAGGGTCACTATCAGTCAGCATCATCTAGACAGGAATGGGTTTATTATCATGAATCCAACTTTCAATACGCTAGTATAGTGAGGAATGCTACTTTGACTTCCAAATTCTTATTTTTATTGCTAGTCTAGTCTCAGGAAATATAGAAGTAGTAATTTACCCCTCTGTTACAGTGACCCTCTTAGTAAGAAAGCTATCAAATTATGTGCCATCAGAAGAAATTCATCTTGGCATTAGGTATGTTAGAGACTGACTCATTTCTTATGCTGAAGCCCAAACATTGAGTGACTGGTGGAAGCCAATATCTCAAGAAGGAGTCCTGTTGGAACAAGTGCTTAGGATGGTGTTTAATACAGCAAGGAGCCAATACAGTAGGAAGACACATAGTAAAGGATGTGGAGTGTGTAGATACAACAAAGAATTTAGGTTCATGATCTGCCATCCTGTTATTTGAAAGTTAGGGAAATAAATGACTTTCAGTTCTCTGTACATGCAAAGATAAGATAGTTATTACAAAATTTTGCTTTCATATATGTTGGAAAAAAAGCATGTGCATTTAAACATTTTAAAAATAAATCACTCAGGAGGCTTAAGAAAAATACTTTAGTTCATATTTCATTGATCTGACCTTTTGATTCAAGATCAAGGAATGAATCCAGGATGAAAACCAAAACCAAAACAGAAATGAATCACTTACCATGGAAAAAAGGCATTTCAAGTCTCAGTTAACCTTGACTAGTTTTTATTGCATTATTTTTGAAATGCCAAGACAACTGGCTTTGGCCATAATATTTGCTGTTCAACTAAATCACAGCGTCAATATGCAACTGCCTGTAACAATTAGCTAAACACCCTTATTTGACAAATTCCCTTTCATATGTGTTGGTGTCTAACACATATGAAATCATGTAACACTCAATCAGGCTGTAGTACAAGGAGAGAAGTTTGTAAATCCTTGTCCATGGAAAAGGTTTCACATAACCTTATTTTTTTTTTTTTTTGAAAAAACACATGTTTTTCCTCATCCTGCACATTCTTTCCTGATTTCAGGAATGAACAGTGGCACTGGCTGAAGAGGAGCAGAAAAAGCCACCAACTCTAGATTAATTTTTAAAAAGATCAGGGAGAGAGGGGGAAAAAATGCAAATATGGAATGGTAAGGGCATACAACACAGAGAAGAGAAAAATAATGGAACCTACTAGCAATTTCCACTAAAGCAGTAAACCCGGTAACAAACATAAATTCAGTACAATACACACAATGATTAGCAACTCCACCATTACTAGTGTAGCTGTTGAAAGCCGAAGGGGGGGAAAAAAACCAAAAAACAACTACAATATTCAAAAACAGAATTCTCATAAGATTTGAGAAAAATAGAGTGAAAAGGCAATGTTAGCTAAGCTCTTAGCTAAATCCACTCTTAATGGCCCCCAGTATTTAAACTATCATGGATTAAAGCCATGAAAATAAAAATTTCAATTTGAAATTTTATTAGCATGTTGCTAAAATGGTCAATAAAAACATCAACACGATAGGCTTTGTTGACATAGTTGGAAAACTGCCCTCTCATTTTTAAAACTTTATTCTCACCTTCTAAGGTTTCTATGTTAGGAAAAGCCAAACTAAATATACTGGCTATGGTGTTGTAATAATGCTGGTTTCTGGAATGTTGCCATGTCTCCCCCCCACTCTCTTCTCCAAATCCATTAAAATTACGACAATTTCTGAAGTGTAGCCCAAGGAAGGCACAATCTAGGGTAAAGAACAATGAACTCCCTTCTCCACAAATTCAAGTTCCCAGACACAGGTGAACTATTTCCATTTCAGGGGCGGGGCTGCTTTGCCTCACCAAATTAGCTGAGCCATTTTTCTCCGCGGACCTGAAAGGCTTCCCTTCTGCCAGTGAGGGAAGCTCACAAGCAAGTGCGAGTGGGTGGTGGCGTTCTCTTCCCTTGGTAGAAATAAACAGGAAGCATACACTAACTAGCTTAGCCCGGAGCCTAGAATACAATGTCTGGAGTCCTGGGGCTGGAGAGCTGGAAAAGTCCTGGGCAGCCTCAGGACAACTCAGAGTCCCCAAGTGCTTTCTTGTGGAATTAATCACAAGTGCATAAGGGACAGGCTCGATTTCTTGGAAATCTTGCAATCTGGGGGCACATCCATATAGGAGCTGAAAGGCTCTCTGAAAAGACTATCGCTTCAAGCGGGTCTCTGTGTCTGGGAAGGTGAAGGTCCCCTTTTAAATAAAGGGTGGTTTCCGGTCAGGTGATAGTTACTAATCAGTGACTAGGGGAAAGGCCATGCTCTTACTACCCTCAGCCCAGAACCCTTTTCCTCTTTCATCTTGAATGGAATAGCGCACTTTGCACTCTTGTTCTCCCAACACCATCAACACCACTGGGGCTCTCAGCCAGGAGTGCACAGCCGTGCCCTTCTATTCGCGGGAACAGTTCCTGAGACTTCCTGCCACTTGCTGGAGGGGTGCGAGGGTAAAGCCTGGGCACTGGCCACCAGCGGCGGGCACTCGAGTATGACCAGGGTGGTAAATCGCCAACTGTGAAGCCCGCTTACGGGAAGGGGAAGGGAGCGGGACTCGGGGAGACAGGCAGGGAAGGCGGCCCCTCCGTAGCTACTCCTTGTCGTCCACGAGATCTGCTAGTTCCTGGAGCACTCGCAGGCGGCCACTGGCGTCGATGCGGCGCTTCTCACGGATGAGATCTTCCAGGCTGTGAAACCTGGCTGTGTGCACCTTGTTTTCCCCCAGGTGCACCTTGAGATAGTATTGCAGCTGCGGGGGCTGCGTGCCGGCCGGCACCTCCCCTCCCGCCTTGAACTCCCGCTTGCCAAAGCGGCACCAGGCGGCGAAGCTCTCCGAGTTCGTCCAGCAGATCTCCTCGCTCTTGAGACCCAGGTGGCCGCAGGCGTTCTGCACCACCAGCTCAGCCACAAGCGGGCGGTAGCGATACCAGCTATTCACCACCCGGCCCACGTTGGCCGCGCCCGCCTCGTACAGGCTGTCCTGGCGAATCTCGCCCTGGTGCAGGTGGATGATCTGCCCGCCGCCCACGTAGACGGCCCAGTGCGGGGCGGGCGCGGGCGGCTCCTGTGCTGGCTGCAACCACAGCAGCTCCAGCAAGTCGCCCGGCTCGCAGAGAGCCGGTAACGCGGACACCGCGTAGACGCTCAGGTCGGCGCCCTGAGGGCCGCCGCTCACTTTGGAAAAGATGCATTCCTGGCCCCGAAAGGCAGAGAACTGAGTTTCGTTGAGGACCAGCTGATGCAGCAGGTGGTGATGGTGGCGGTTGGGGCTCTCTGGGCAAGGGGTGCAGCCCGGAGGGGCCTTCACACCAAACTTGTCTGGCTGGCCGCGTTCGTCCAGGTCCTCCTCCTCATCCGAGAAGAAGTAGGCGACCCCGACCCTCAGTTCGTCCTTCTCGATCCCCGACGGGTCCCCCGTGGGCAGTTCGCTGTAGTTGAGGTGGGTGATGCGGTCCAGTTGGTTGCCCATCAATGACAAGACGAAGAGAGGGCCAGGAGCGGGGTTCTGCGGAAAGCACAGGAGAGGCAGAGACACGGTCAGAGTCGGGCTGCCTCTCCCAGCGTCTCTCCCCAACACTTGCAATGTTCAGAGGACCTTTACACCCACCAGCCCGCCCGCCCACACTAGAGTCACCTATTCAAGCTGAGACTCGCTGGAGGCAGAAGGGGTATAGAAGCAGCTACACTGTCCGGGGAGAGAGCGGAAACCACCACAAAGCCTTCACTCCCTTCTTAGAACCCGGTCTAATTCCCACAAGAAAAAAACATAGGCGGACGAGCAGCATCCTGGTGGGGTGGGCAGTGTGGGTTGTGGCAGAGTGGTAGACAGAAACCCATGAACGGGAGAAAGGTAAGGTTGTAAGATGGGGCGCCTAATGCCCCAGAACCAGGAGCAAATGGCGCTTATATTTCTGTCCCCACCCTCTCCAAACCACCTACCAGTTTTACACTAGGTCACACTCTTCACCTGACAGCGCCTCATACAAAGAAAATCGGACATATTTGCAGGCACTCATTTGACACTAACAAAATTTCGCACACTTGGGAGTCCCGAAACTAACAAGACTGGCACACTTTTGCGAATGCCACATACACACAATGACAAACCCTCGCAACAACGTACTAACACACTCAGACCCTCACGTTTGCAACTGCACACCATTTTAGCCCCACATTGACACGCTCGCCAATGCACGTACACCGGAGCAGCGGGGCACACCTGCCCACACATGAAGGTGCACTCTACCCCTTACTTCTCTCGCCTTCTCCCTGGCAGTGCCGATGGGGATACGCTAGGGCGAGGCTGCTCTGTCTAAAATAACCTAACAAAGAGGTAGAGAGAAAAAAGGAGGAAACCACTGCGGAGTGGTGGTGGTGGTGGTGGTGGTGGTGGTGGTGTGTGTTACGGAGTCCACTTTTGGACAAAGGATCCCTCGCCCTTCTACCCGGTACAGGTCTAAACAACTCGACGAAGAAAACCGTTTCCAAGGCAAAGAAAGCCACGTCTCCGTACCCGTGATTTCCCTGCTCCCGAATCCCCAAACTCCTTTAAAGTCTCCAGGTCCCCATGGGTGCTGCGGAGGCGGAGAAGGAGGCGGCGAGAGGGTCCGGGGGAGGGGGCGAGTGGGTCTGCAGCTTCGCTTTGCCCCGCGAGGAATGAATCGGTGCGGTGTCTGGCTCGGTGTCTGTGTGCCCGCCCTTCCGCGGTGGGTACCGATCCAGCTCTACCTAGGCAGTCCCGGCTCCGCTCTGCTTTCACACAGCTTGGCCGAGGACTAAGTAACGAGAGCAGCCGGTTCCACGGCCCGCCCCGGCGTGCGCTCATTGGTTGGGGCAGGAGCCCAGGCCTCGTCAATCTCCTCCTCCAGAGGAGGAGAGCAGGCGCGGGTGTCCTGCAAGAGCTTCGCCCCGCCCTGCCCTGCACCCGCTCGCCCACAGGCCAGCACAGCTTCTTTGCCTTTGCGCGCCCAAGTGCGCGCCACCCCCGCGAGTGGAGGGTGTGAGTGGCAGCCGAGAGCGTGCTAGAGGCGCTTAGTTTCTCCATGGCGCCCCTGAGCACTTCCATCGCGCTACCAGTCTTCCTACAAGCTAACTGAAAAGCCAATTGAAACTAAGAACACCTTCCCTCGCCTTTCAATATTTCAGGAGTACTGTACATTCTCTAGTTTAGAAGCTGAGTCCAATGGAGAAGAAACCCTAGTCGGGTCCAACTTGGCCCCAGGCACTGCGGCCGTCCGGATAAAGGGGGGCATTATTCAAAGCCGGAACAGGAGTACTGGCCCTGCTGTTTCTTAGACCCAGAACCTTGGGTCCTCAGAGTCCTGGAGCTTGTCCTCTACTCACAGACCTGTTTCCTGCTGGGCGCAGACACCTTCGGAATTGCTCCTACAATGTTTGGTGGCTCTTCCTTGGAACCCTGTGAAGCTGCCGACCCAGCATTAAGAGGAACGTGGCTTCAAATGCGATCTATTTGGTTGGTCTGGTCCCTGGCTGTGTTTAGGATTTCAGCCTCAATTTTCTGTCTATGAAAGGGGTATCTCACTGCTGATAATAGGATATTATTGTGTTATCCAAACCCTAGTACTTCCGTTGCCGAGGGATTTTTGTTCAGTTTCGTTGTAAATGGCTGTCCAGCAGTAATTATCAATTGCAAGAATGGATGGAAAAATATACTCTAAATATTGATGACTGAAAGATAACTTTGATATGTTAGAAATTCCGAGTTTGCAATTTGAAAAGCTTATAATGTATATACCTTAAAGAGTTGCTAGATAAACTGGTTCTAGTCTCATAACTTCAGTTTTGGGATCCAGTATCTATTCTATGCTACCTATTCTTTCTGCCCAGAATTTGCTACTTTTTTGCAACCCCTTGGCAACTTCTATAAATAATGTTGGAGCACTTACTGTGTTTTATTACAGATTTATTCATTTACCTCCTCTAAGCGTAGTGGTTAGGAATTGGGCTGCGAAATACAAGGTCAGCAGTTCGAAACTACCAGCTGTTCCGCGGGAGAAAGATGAGGCTTTCGGCTCCCGTAAAGATTTACAGCCTCGGAAACCCTGTACAGGGTCTCGCTATGAGCCAGAACCGACTCCACGGCACGTAACAACAACAAGTAAACTTCTTCATCTTAGCTCTGGACTTTTTTTGTGTGTGTGTGTGAATAGAGTAAAGGTTCACAGAGCAGATAATCACATTTACATTTAACAAATGATGCATTTCTTTTCATTTTATTCTGGGCTTCTTTCACCACACCAGTCATACAACATTTCCATAATAACACAACATATCAGTAATAATAAGGAAGAAAAGAGCTAATAGGTATTAACCAGCTACAAGAGGTTAGGTTTAAGTAGAAGATTTAATCATGAAACCTCTGTAGGTATTCACTAATATCTCCTTATAACCACGGCAGGAAATAAGCACAAATGCCAGTGCCAACAAAGGTCGAAGGGACTTCACATCACGTCCAGCCTTAACTGAGCTATACTGTTGGTTGAATGAATAAAATCTTGTTTCTTAAATTTAGAAAAGTTTGTCACAGAGAAGTTATTAGATTGGCCCACGGTTACAATTAGTATTATCAAACTAGATGCTTAATAAATGGTGGTGGTGGTTATGTGCTGTGGAGTCGGTTCCGACTCATAGCGACCCTGTACAGGGTTTCTGAGGCTGTAAATCTTTACGCAAGCAGAAAGCCTCATCTTTCTCCCTCAGAGCAGCTGGTAGTTTCGAACTACTGACCTTGTGGTTCACAGCCTGATTCACCAATACGCTACCAGAGCTCTTTGGTAAAGACTGCTGAAAAAAAATGGCTTTCAAATGACCATCGGTATACATGTGATATAAAGAAATCTTTTCAGAAATTGAACTATTATCTATGTGCACGTTATTTGAAAACAAGTTGTCATCCCTGGAAAAGATCACAGATTGTGATGTCCTTTTATATATTGCTATAAATAATAACTCATTTAGTTCCTGAAGTAAAGAAAATTAAACAAGTGGCTTCAGAGATCAAGAAGTGAATTATTAATATTGTTATAAATTGGACTTCAAGGATCATTGGGGTGAGAGTATCTGAAGAGTTCATTACTAATGTCTGGTATCTGACAGGAACTAATTTAAAGTAGTTCAGTGTTTAACTCTGAATAACCTTTCTTATTTTATGTTTTAAAGTCCTTCCTTCAACCTCAAGATCAAACCTTGTGCACAAACATTTACAACCTGTTTGCTTAGGACAATATGTCCTGTCCTGACCACCCACTGCCTACTGCAAAGTTAGCAGACTGCTCCTCTTTGGCTTAACCTCTCATTTACTCTAAAGAATGATTAATATAAAATATTTTTTTTTATTACAGTTTCTAACATTTACACATCTTTTTAAATCTCCTTTTCTTACTCTCCCCTTGGCTAAAAAAAAAAAAAAAGCTTTAGTGATTACAAAATAGAATAAATGGGACCCCCTCCTCTCCTTGGAATATAAAGCAGGGAATGTGCCTGTGAAGGTGTGGCACTGTGGGTTAATGCACCAGACTGCAAAGCCGTTTGAACTGCAAGGTCGGCAGTTCAAGCTCATCAGCTGCTCCTTGGGAGCCCTATACAGGGTCACTATGGGTCGGAACTGGCTCAATGACAATTAACAACAAGACCAAAGTAAACTAAGGAAAATGCATCTGATCTTTGGTCTCAGGCAGTTAACAACAACTATATATAGAGAGAGAGATAGTTAAGTGCCATCGAATTGTTTCCAACTCATAGTGAACCTGTATAGTTTCCAAAGAGCAGCTGGTAGATTATGCGTATATAATGGCGTTTGGGTGTGACACTGTAGGATAAACATTGGACTGCTAACCCCATATGTCGGCAGTTCAAACCCACCAGTCAGTTTTTATTGTGAATTGAGTGATTAGTTTACATGGGGAAACATCAGTTTTACACTCATTGTTTCATTACAATGATTATATCTCCTTGGCACATCATCATTCAACAGTATTTGCTTCTATTCCCTATGTTTTTTGGGGGTGAGGGGGGGTGTACACAAAAACACTCAGGAATATATAATCATTTAAATAACCGAGGACACACTCTGCAAGTCTGTGCCCTCACACACAGCTTTTCTCTTTCCATGAGTCTAGAGTTCTCAGCTGCTCTCTTTCTCAATGTCCTCATCTCTGCTTCCATTTCTGGTATTGCTACTTTTCTGGATAGGGTCCCACATTCTGCTCATGCTCTTCTCCCTCGAAGGCCCTAAGGTTCTCTGTTTCTGGACTGACTGCAAGATTAACTACTCACCTCTTTTTGTTACAAAACTTCTACCTTTACAGTTGTGACAGTCATAATCAGTCATGATAATAATTACTCACTATTGAATCATAAGAACCTTATCGCCATCTCCTTTCACCAGACCCATCTGGACAAGTTGAAAATTATTCAGTGGGGATTCTACCTACCCCCACACACTCTGAAACTAAACTCCCCCTTGAAAACTTATAAGCC